AATGTTAGTTACTTGTTTCATACAATAGATATTACCACAAGACCACTTGATCTATAGAGACAAATGTTCACTTATTTATTTACGCCTGTTACCCCTCGTCAAGGAGCATAGGCCGCTCACCAGCATTCGCCATCCAACTCTGTCCTCAGCCTTTCTTTCCAGTTAACATTCATCCTTTTCATATCTGCTTCTATTTCCCGACGTAATGTGTTCTTTGCCCTTCCTTTCTTTCGCTTCCCTTCCAGATTCCAAGTTAGGGATTGCCTTATAATACACATTGGTGATTTCCTTAATGTATGTCCTATCCATCTCCGACGTCTTTTCCTAATTTCCTCTTCAGCAGGAAGCTGGTTTGTCCTCTCATATAGAAATAAACTCATACTTACTTGTTTCTCAATCCCTTAACTGTCTAAATGCAGTCGTATTAAATTTTATTCAAATAATCGAAAACAAAATATTCTTTTTAAGTAGTCTGTGTTGGTGTTGTCCAGGACAAGGATGAAAGACATACAATTAAGCTATATACAGCTCAGAGAACACAGCACAATAATATCATCACAAGATACAAGTCTCCATTACTTTTTACACAATTTACAATAATCAAGTACACAACTGAACAATAATGGTTAGTTGATTCCAATGATTATGAGAATAATCGAACTGCAACTTGTTAGTTTCTACATTTATTAAAATCCCGTTAATTTACTACAAAAAAGTATAATATGAAACAGAAATAACTAGATGAAATCTACTCAATGATGACTATTTATCAATTGAATGTCAACACTGATAATTTACATGGAATTCGGTCATCAGTCAGTCAGTCACAACGTAGAACTTCGTACGTACGTACGTACATCAGTTCGAGTTGCTATACCACATTAACACAGAGTTGCAATTGTCGATTCAAATCCCATAGTGGTAGATGTAGTAAGAGTATAAGCAGCAATCCGAAAGATTAGGGTTTGAAGATGCTATTCAAGGAGTATAATACAGTTAAATTTTCGAAAGAGAAAAAGGATGGATACATGACGAATTCAGAAGATTAGAATTTGGTAGAACACAAAGAGTGGATGCACCTTCGCCATTGCAAACGATTTTGAGCCATGTCATTCAAGGTCTCTAACCATCGATAGCTATCATCTCGCGGATCTCAACCAGGTAGTCTACACCTACCAACATGGCCCAGTCCACTTGTCAGTGACTTCATGGATTTGTGTCACGTTTTGGTCTGGCGGCCCCTAGATTTCTTCCAATCTACTCCTACACCATAAAACATTGCACATCGAGGCAGTCGGTGGTTGGGTATGTAACACATGTCCCAGCCATCTGAACTGATGAAGTTTCACTACTTCATCAATCGATTTGCCATCCTTACCTAGTACCCGTTCTCTAACTGCATTACTTACCCGGTGGTCCCAGGATATACGAGCAACGCTTCGAAGACACCTATGATCGAAATAGTTTGCCTTTTACCATGTGAACATCGAGATATGTGTAAATCAAAGTAGTAGGCTGGTTAAGCAATAGCATTATTCTAGTCTAAATAAGAACTATTATATATATATCGTGATTCGCTAATGAAAACTATTCGAATCTCTCCTAAGAAATGTCCTAAATTTCAGATGTATACACATAACCATTCGGCGTTTTTTCAAACTGAATAATTTAATAGAGAATCTGACAGTATTAATTTGAACAATATTCTAAGTTGCTGTCCACAACGAATATGAAGACAATTCAACTGCACCATCCACCTTTGAAAACGTAACTCTACAGGAACACTAACCTGAATGACAAGCTTTTCTTTTTATATATCACAGGTATTTTTAATTGTATGGAGCAATGAAAAGACTCTGGTCTATTTAATAAACTCTATTATTGTTTACCGATGTTAATCATATGGAACTTGCAAAACGGCATTAGCGTGTTTATCTCAACAATTCATAGAAATGTCCTCGATGAAACAGTAACGTTGGTTAATTTGCACAGAGCACATCTAAGCTTTCATTATAGTGATTAGTAACTAACAGAAAATAAATAATCACTCGGGGATTTAATAAGCTTTTCAGATACGAACAGAATACAGAGTTAGCGAACCATATATTTCTTATGTTCAAACTTCAAGGACTTGACCATCAACAAAATACTACTAGGGTAAACTAAGTCAGTAGTAACTGAACACTGTATTCAATGATGATGAAACATGTCCTGAAATGGTATATGTTTGTTCTATGCTCCTATAAGCCCAAGGGTTAGAAAACCACCCTCTCCTCGATCGCAAAACAGACATTATCAAAATTTACTGAAGGCACTTATTGTTTCAAATGAAACCAAGTTATTCTGCTGCGTTCGTTAAAGTTTTGAATAAGTCAAAAAGGTGTCTAAGTTACCACGAACCACGCCAAATTAATGAATGTTCCAGTATATTTCAAAATTAGCGTAGGCGAAAAGAGATTTTGATTCGTAAGAAACAAATACTATCAAATTACTAGGTGGAATTATACTTTTTTTATTAAATAATGTCACGCCCAATGTTCTCTTGCAACAACTACCTAAACTCGAGAATTTAAGGCTTCTCCCATAATTATAAGACTTTTTTCATAATATACGTAGTGAAGAAACAGTCCCAAGTATATCTTATCGACGAGAATATTTAATAGCATTGATTTTATATTATTTATTTATTTAAACACATAAATATTGGTACAAGGAAGCACCAGATATATATGCGCCTCACAAATCTCATTTGATTTGCGTGAGGGCTGTGATACTGCTCAGGTGCCCAAACTGAAGCAGGTGGTTTTCTTAGGCGGCCACACCCGGAGCCTTTGAGCTGAATGTCTGATCCACAAGGCAGTGGAGCATCGTGAGGAGATGCAGTCCCATGGTAGCCGGTGATCAACGGTTGATTCGTACGCCATTTGTCCCCTCAGGATACTGGAGCCCATGTGCACCACTGGTTTGGAATCAGGGTTTTCCAACTCCCCTAGGTGGACCTCCATGTCCACCAACCAATAGCATTGATGCAACTTCAGAATTGATGCACTACTTCTATCTGCAGTCGACTTGGTCTCACAACTCTTTATTCTAATAAGGAAAAACTGATATGCAATCTAGTAAACGCTTATAAATTTTGAGACTGAATTAGATCTATAAACAAGTGATAAGTCTAGGTACGGGAGTCGGAGAAGCATTGACACACGCAATCAGAATAACTAAGGCTATAAATACAACAATCTATGGTTCATGACTAGATCGAAATCCGCATCAGCTTTCAGTGCAATCTTTGCATCTATAATGTCTTATTTAAAGTAAACGAACTGAAATTTCCATTTCCTATTCGTCAATAACTTCAATGTAAGGTCATAATAACACATCTGTGAATGTAAATAACAGATGACTAGTGCAAACTTGGGAAGTTTGTCCTACTGTTAGTTTTGTTTGAACAGATAAACAATAGCATAAAGCCGAGTCATGTTAGTAAATACAGATTACCAGGTTGTGGTTTGTATTATAACAGCGATCGATGGTTAGAGACTTCGTCTCACGACTCGAAATCACTTACAATGGTGCAGGTGTATGTGTTCTTTTTTCAGTCTTGAATCGTAGTATTCCTTCATATGTACCTTTCTAATCTGCTTTTCCAAGCACCTATACTCAATGCTTAGCATTTCACAATGTCATCGCTGCCATATTATTCTGATCTCTTTTGCCACACATCTTGTTAATTTCATTTCGTCGTGCTAATGAGGTATGTTAACTTAGACCAACGTACATCTTTACTTGGTTCTATGTTGATGACTGATTGACAAAACAGAACAGTAAGAGAAATAAAAATAAATTATAGGTAATGATACTGAAATCCTGTAAACATAGAGTTACAAATGGGTCTTAAACCCGGCAACTAAGAATAATAACAATAATAATAATGATACAATAGAAATGTAAATACAATAAAACAGAATACAAATATGTGTATAGAGGTAATGAAAGAACAAAAAAAGAGAAAATTAAATAACTCCAACTAAATCAATCACTATTCGTGATCATTACATCACCAAGCTTATATAGCACCCACACACATAACATATAGACACAAACACCGCTTGGATGTCATGAGGTTAAACAAATTCTCCATTGACCCTTGTTCACACACATATATTGTACAAGTAATACGAATGAAATATAAACTAAAAAGGGCCTTGTCGTAGGTAAAAGAAATCCTGGGTTTTTTTCCTATCAGTATATATATATAAATGTATATAACGTATAGGTCATTTTGGTGTTATAATAAGACATAAAAGTCTCTTTGCAAACCAAAAAATGAATGTTAAAATTACTATTACCACTACTATTACTAGTAAACCTACACGTTAGACAAAACTTATGTCTTGATAATAAACACTGCTGATATATAGAAAAACTTACAGAATTCTTGAGTAAGCATGGGTGTCACTCAAAAATAAAAGCAACAAATATTATATGGATAAGAATAGGGAATTCCTCCTTTTTTACCGCACACTTTTACGCTGACAACCATGATATACACTATATAGTTGTGTTGGTCTAAAGAGGTGTGGTTCTGGAAAAAAAACTATAATGCAACATGTTTCATAAAATGAAAATACATTGGAATTCCAACGTGAAAAAAATCCCATAAGTAGGGTTAGATGATGATAATAATAATAGTAATAATAATCACAATAAAAAATGAAGCAACAAATGCCATAGAGATGGATTAGAATTGATTGACAATTACGATTTATTAGTGTATTTATATTCACAAAAAGATTTATGATAAACTTTGCAAAGACCATCGGTGTGCGAAGAAAATCAAAATTAAAGGCATTGAATAAATATGAAAAAAAAAAGAGAAAACAAGTTGTGTTGTAGTAGGAGCTGATATCGTCTTAATATTGGTTTTGTCGTGAAAGGCGTGATGAAAATGAGAGGAATATATCAAAGGTTTAAAAAGATCCGGAATCATGTCCGTGATCTTACAGTTTTCGAATTTTAGGACAACGCACTTCTGGATTGGCGCGAGCTAGTTCAAGACGACCATTTGCTTGATAATCATAAGCACACTCGTGTTGATCGGAATATCGATGTAATGAGCAGAACAGTCCATCGCAGCGGCAAGCGAAACCTACATCAGGCCAAAATAAATCAAGAGAGACGCGATAACTCATAACTGTATGTATAAATTAACCAGTTAAAGATATTTCGGAGTGCCTACACTTTTAAAATCAAACGAACAGTAAGAAATCTTCAGGAAGGCCTGCATGTTTTGGCTCACTGACATTTATTGCAAAAATGTTTTGCATCCAAATAAATATACGGTTCTTTAGATACCAACAATGTCTTTAAATTAAATAGTTAAATAATGGTATTATTAACGCCTTGATGAGTATCAACAATCACGACACAACTGTAGCTATTATTCAGATGAAGGAGTCAAGTCATCCAATTGATCTCAATAAGCTAAAAGACTTGTTAATTAAAGTCTTACGGGTCAGCTGGAGGATGTTATGGCTGAGAATAGTGGGTGTTATATAAGAGAAGTGTTGTTAATACCACTGTGGTGGCATTTTCCGGGAATAACTGGTATTCGCAGAGATATTTTTTACCACAGAGGGAAGAAGGGTTCACAAACGTCGACTTTTTCGATATACATTGAGCATTGTGATCATGCTTCCAGGTCGATAAAACCGACATTAACATTGTCCGTTCTTCTACCCACTCAATAAATGTTCCTCAACGGTCTGGGTAACGAGGAAATGATAGTCTACATACCTTTAACAATATATATTTGACCCGTCTGCCACGTACTCACAAAATTTCCTCCGAGGTCTTTTTTTCTCGCTATCGATTATTCTTTACTGACAAGTTGGACCGATACACATTTGTGGTATTCATGACTATGACTGACTAGTAAATGTAAAGAAACTGAAAAAGTGATACTTCAAGTATCTAGAAACTTGGTAAGGATGGCAGTAAGTGGAAGATTATGAAGAATACTTTCGCACTGAAAGTGAGCTGTTTAACTGAATAAAACTAGCTTAACTTTAATGAATGACTTAATGAACGATCGAAATTGATACTATACCAGATTATCTATTTTAGATAAAACGGAGAAAAATATGCGTGTATCTATAAAGTCACTTGATGTGTCAAGGGATATTACGTAAACTGTCTAGAACTGTGGGAAGGCACTTTTAAACTAGTAATAAGTGGGACATTCCACCTTACACGTTATCTAAAAATTAAGAAAATACTCACTAACCTGTCAATCCAACACGCTTGCGACACCAAGTGCAACGATTGACGCCAAGAACGGGACGGGAAGCTGACAAGTCGGCTGAAATAGTAAAGAAAATGGTCACTTACATAACAAAAAGCGGATTATTTGGTCAGTGATCGGTAACCAACCTGACAATACACATACCACTACCTTATCGGTGGCGAACGGCTATTATCGAGTTTGAAAAGACCGTAGAAATAATACGCAACCTATTTGCTAATTACGGGCTAATGTATTCGGTCTTGGTGTAGTCAACAGAACACTGGTTGGGGACAATCAAATGTATTTAAGCAAAAATTACAGTCAGTAAATTCTGAAAACCATACAATGGGCAGTCAATTTGCAAATTAACAACCAATAGTCTCGATCTTCACTGTTTCTTCTCTAATTCCAATGTTCGTGTATTTTCCTACCGATTGCGCTTCGTTTCAGTTCTTTCCTCATCGGTCTTCTGTCCAAATACATTCTATGTCTGACCAACACCATATACTACTTATATGGATATAAGTAGATCACACCACACTGGGTCACACCTTTAAGTGAGGGTTAATAATACTATCCAATTGCACAAACCAAAGTACCTGGAGTGGGATCCAAAGTTGTGACTAAACGGTTTCAATCCAGGATGATTCAATCAATAAGCCACTGTGTGGACTCCACCAACCAATGTAGGGAAACACAGAATGACAATTAAATATACACAATGTACAAGATCACACGGATTTGAAAAGCTACAAGCTACCTACATTCGCATTAGCACAATAACATCGGAAGTAAACGTTATAAATTTGTAATACCAATAATGATACCAAAATAGGAGCAGGAAAATAATTGAATAAAGTAGTCAGCTAATCACAAGCAACGTATGAACTTAGCACAAACGTGTATCGCCTTAAGTCGCTACACCATATCAACATAATTAAAACAACTCATAGTGTTATTGAATAAGAAAGAAAAAATTCAGCGAAGAAAAGTCAACATAAGATGGGATTTATCAAGTTGAATATCAGAGTACTAATAGTATCAGTGACAAAATATCAGACAAAGTATAATTAGAGTGGAAAGTAAAAAATAATTTTGCAAATCATGATATAAAAGACAAGGAGTGAGTGCACCAACGTCACTGTCATCGAGTTTGAGTCATACATAGACAGAGCAAAAAACAAATGATTGAATCATAGCATACTTTAAATACCATACCTTTGGAAGTTTCTGCAGAGTCTGAGGGATTTGCCTTTCGTTTAAGTGTACGAGATAATTGGGAAGATGTAGTAGGATCTGATTGATTTGAAGTGGAATCTTTGGGAGAGTGTTCACAGCAATCTAAGAGCTGTGACTTTCGATTATCCGGTCTATCAATTGAAGTGGAATGAACAAGTGTAGCTTGCTCCAAGGTAGAATCACATTTAATATGCTCCTGATAACATTTGGAACACATATCTTTAAACCGAACACTTCCATAGAAGCCACAACCACGTTTACACATATTCTTGTTTTCAGGTTTATTTTCCAGCTCTGATGTTTCGTTATTCTGTAAGCACAAATTAAAAAAACAATACAATATAAATAATATTCACTAGTTAACAGGATTTTCTACATAAGATATGCATATTGAAAATAGACTGACTGTCAATGAAGATGGTTGACTTCAGTTTTCAAATAATGTTATAACAAAACCTAAAAATGTTGAGTCAAACAGGACAAAATTCAACATGGGTTACATGATAAAAAATACTTAATATATTAGCGCAAATATCGCAATAGTGGCACTTTGAACCATCCGTCAAAGGTAAAAGAACCATTCATAAACTTACCCTGAGCAACAGTAATCAACAAATATCCAAATAACTTCAGCTGATATACGGGTACTTATCCATCACCAATGACTTGCTATGTCAACTTTTCAAATCTTGTTTAATTATTATGTGACCCTTCAATTTCTAATTGTAGATAATTATCCCCTCATTGCTCTAAATCTTTTTTTAAACTGACTCGAATCTTACGTTAACACACCAAAACTTTTATAATTATCACATAGTTAATGTTATCTGTATCTGAACTACATTCAATTACTGCCCTACACCCCTTCCATATTTCTGAATTCTGTCTGCAAATGACCTCATGGCTGTTTTACACCTATATATGTGCAGTTGCTATCTGTAATCTTCGTTATTGTAATTCTTCGTCATCAATTTCAATTGCTTCTTATTGCATGATACCTTAATGTTACACTTCAATGGTTGGAAGCAGCTGTTGTGAAACCAAGAAATATAATGTATTAGTTTTACCCCCTCGTGTTTTGGTTTTATTCAAAATCGTAAAGGGAATCAAATGCATGAAGTGATTTGCTACTTAGATGCAGACAAAAGGTGAATTCACGTTTTTTGTGACCAATTCTGAACAATGTTGCTAACCAATGGTTGCGATAATCGCAAGGACCCCAAACAGGTAGTCTGTGCCTACACACATGGCTCACTTCAACATTGATTGACTTCTCGGACTAATACTCTCTTTTGACTTACCCTTACATCATCTAACATTGTGTACAGTGTAGTTGATTAAGGATACGTTCTACATATCCCAAACAAGTTATCCAATGAAGACTCATTATAAATAATCACTAATTTTTCGGACTTTATATTCATACTAAATATCATCACATGTGTATGTGTGGTTATTCGATTGCAAATATGTTGTCCGAATATATATTTTATTTTGTAAAGCAAGAATAACAAACATTATGGAATGAAATAAATCTACTTTAATTCGAGTGCTCCAATGCATCCCCCATACGCAGTGATTTTTACAAATAAATGAAATGTTTTACAATTGCAAGCTTATGTGTGATGTACAAAAAACTCATCTAGTTTACCAGGGAGAAAAAATAATCATAAGTGCTTTCTATATTCATACGAGTTCAATATATAAAATAAACGAGAATATGATGTGATCAGACGTAAGAAACATATATTTGTTTATTTGAACACATAAATATTGGTACAAGGGGGCACCAGATGTAGTCCCATGGTAGTTGGTGACCAACAATTGGTTCATACGCCATTTGTTCCCTCAGGATCCTGGAACCCATGTGCACCGCTGGTTTGGAATCAGGATTTTACAACTACCCTGGGTGGACTCGCCATGTTATCATTACGGTGCACAAAATAATGGAAGTGAGAATAGTTGTCAAAAAGGCATTCCTAATCGCCTTAGCTTTTATAATACATTGTTCAGATACAGTGCCATCGCGTCGCTTTTCGTAATTTGATTGGTGACTAGACGGCTGCAAACGTGTCTGAGAATCTGCTAACCTAACCAAAGATAATTTATTCAATAAATAAACTGTACTCAGTGGTACCCGGAATATGGTGTTTACTTGAGACTGCTGTGAGCCACAATATATGCCAAGCTAATGTTTTCGGAGAGAAAAAGGAAGGATTACGATAAAACTTTCAGTGCAGTCATAGCTTATATGTCCTTGTAATAAAGTGGACAATCACTTTTAAGACATCACTACTCTAAATTGTCGGGTTGGGTATTCTATAATTAACAAATGAATCAAGTCAATTAATCAAATTGGCCACTCAACTTCCAAATATCGCATTAAATATTCGGGTTTGAGCTCCTGGGTAATATCCTGTTTTCGCATAGTTGGTCCACACACGTGTATGAACCTAGACAGCAGTTGAGTTAGGATCATTAATACAACTCACTAAAACAGGTATTATATGTATATATATATATATATATATATACTTGCAAAGCTTCATGTAAGGGATTAAGGTACTACCTGATAAGTTAGACAAACGTGGAGACAAATTTAGACCCGCTATCCAACAGCACATTTGATCACTAAGTTATTCCTTTCAAGTAATTACATTAACAAGTGTCGACAGACAACGTCCATCAGATTGTGAATGCTTTAGTTTAAAAAACAGACTCCAGGCACTTGACTAAAACCCCATTACCGACAGAAACATATTTAAAACAGCCGTCATAGTTCCATTCGGTCTTTATGAATATCTAAATCTTCCGGACCAAGAAACGCAGCTTAAACTTTCCAACCGTGTGCATAGTGTTTATAACTTTGCATATCTACGCACTGATGATCATCTGATGGCAAGCACAGACAGCTCCACTTGCATATAGATCTTGTTTTTCAACGACTATAACAACAGGGCATCACTGTAAACATTCAGAGTTGCCAAATGCGGTCCTGGTACCTGGTGCCCTTTTGTACCAATATATATATGTTTAAATAAATAAATAAATAATATAAATAAATGCGGTCCACTTCATTAAATTTTTCTGGCATACCACTGAAACTCAAGGTATTTGCTTGTTCGAAGAAAAAAAGGTAGCTCATAACCGACGACTATCAACGAACTGCAAACTTTCAACATAATGGTAGGTCTCTAACGAAGAATTATACCCAACCACGTTTCTTATGAGATTATTAACAAACCAATTTTGAGAGTCAAGAACAATCAAATTGCATAACAATACAAGGGAAGCATTCATCACCGTAAAAAAGATCGCCAAGTCAACCGTGTTTTCCGGTCACGACACCTAAGCACCTACTAGCATATATGCAAACATCCGACTCAGCAATCGGTGATCTTACAGCAACGGACTCGTCTCCAGAGAGTTGCAAGATACTAAATCAAGGCACAGAACTTTCGGCGGGGAGCTCCTAGCTGTATGGTGTTTGAAGACCAGGAACTCACCATTTTCACGGATCGTCAACTTCTAGATCTTTATAACTCATCGTCTGACAAGTACTCTCCTCAATAATCTACTATTATACATATATCTTGAGACATGTTCCTGATGTAATTAATGTAGTTTTAGATGCCTTGTCACAGATAAGTTACCGAAGCGTTTTTAAGGGATCAATTTCGTTGAACAAGATTAACTTTAATGAAAGGACTACCATGTCCATTACAAGTCACTGATAACTTCAAAGCCCCAGCTTAAATTAGAACAGGTAAGGACAACTTACTACTAATTCATTCAGAAATAAAGATCGCTTAGCTATCCCGAAATAATATCATTGCAACGTCTTAAATATATTGCACTATATATGTAGTATTCAGGTTTTTGAACCCTGTTACCCCTACCTCGGTTTGGACAACTGGACATTCACTAGCCCTCAGTGTAGCACATAGCTAAGTACAGGAATGTAAACCGGGTAAATGAGTCGACAGATAGCAATAAATAAGTGTTTGAGCAACCATCGAGCTTATTTCTCAACGATTTCGCTGGCTGAGTGAATAAAAATGTGGAGTGGTTTCACTTTTGCGCACATTGTCAAAAATCTGTTTGTTCCTGATTCCTAAGGCAGATATCGACCGCGTCAATATCTATCACGCAGGGCCCTACCAGCACAAAGTGGGAACTTCTACTTCCAAGTATGTATAGACTGTTTAACAACCCAAAAGCAAGCATATCATTGTTGAGATGGTAGCACGCACTTTTCTCGAACTGAAAGTTGTAAACTTTGGTTTCTCACCAACTATTTAGACAGATCATGGAAACCAATCTGAGTGAATTATTGCGCCTTCTAGCTAAACATTGGAGGGTCAGGAGACATTAAAAGATCACTCTACTATCCACAAGTCAACGGTATGGTAAGACCAATAGTTGAAAGCCTCGCTATTAGCCGTAAATATGCCAGTGAATAGACGCGCCTTTACTTATCTTAACACGTTGACGATCGTTAATAATGATTACCTAAACTCAAGGGTCATGGATCCAAGTAACAAAGTATGGAAAGTACTCCAGTTGCAAAAGCAGGTTAGTCGATATACAGTGCGTGTTCCAAAGATCATTACAACTAACTTTAAGGCTTAAGACAAGTTGATCACTAAAAACTGATTTGAATAGTTGGAAACCGAGCACTTAATAAAAGTAATGATAAATATGACCTAAGGTTCATAAAACACAGAAATTTCACAACACTAGCACATATAACCGATTATGTATAGTCGGTTATTGAGATGACAATATGTAACATGGTGATCAAGGATTAGTTTGGTGAAATACTATCAGGCACAGTACCGCATATCAACTAATAAACTGCGTAGACCAGTCAGTATGTCGCAGAAGATAACCAAACGGTAAAATAGTACATCACTAGGAAGAAGGTGGCTAGTTTGAACTCAACTGGTTTTACTAAACAAGTAGGTAAATGATTTTCGAAAATAGGTTTATAAATTGAATTCAACTTGAGAAAGAAAAGAGTACTACCAGGGTCGTCTACATTTAGCTTTTTTTAAACGTGTAAACGTATAAACTCTACGAAGACCATCCATAAACTATAACTTGAGTTTGGCTAGGCGGGTTGCGAACAAGTCACCGATCTTTAGAACTTATTACATGCTGTTACTCTGTAAAATTATTCCATATCACACATACGAAACTTATTGAAACCACCTTAACTGTATTGTATTACTTTTAACGTACAAAGAATTGCACTGGTATTCGTGATATCTTGAGATTTTTATTTACAATGCATAGTTACCCACGAAGATCCTAGTTGGGTCTCCCAGTACTGAGTTGCACATTAATAAGTGTTGATAAAGCTTAAATAACAAACTGAAAGTCTGGGGTACAGTTAGAAAGATACTGATTACGATAAATCAACATTTACATCTAGTTTACGAACGGTTAATTATTCATAACTAAGCTGTGAAACCTGGCTAAATTATATGTCCATGATTCTTGGTGCACATACGATGTCGTGTTACAAATTAATTAAAGTAACTGAATCAAACCAACTAGCCTCATACCATTCTTAAAAACTATCAATTAAAGACAAACCCCTTGCCCGCCACAGCCGACAAGGCAATAGGAAGATATCAGATGTGCACTGAGCACAGTCGAGACAAACAAAACTACCACTCCCTCCTCTATACGAAAAGGTAGTATCTAAATAAATGCATGAATCTTATATCATAAATGATACTATAAAATTGGTAACCTGTTAGACCTGTTGACGTCAAAATAACACAACATCAGCACATCAGATAAAAGTCAGTTTGTATTTTCGAACAATACATAGACTACATGTAAATAGGATTACTTCCCTTAACCTTGTTTTCAATTCTGCTTACCTATGGCTATATACATTGAATACCTGCATCGAAAATATCGTTTTCTGAAGCAAAAGTAGAAAAGATGTCGTATGGTAACATATGAGTACCGTCAATAAGTAGTCTTACAAGCGTTCGATATTGATGCTGACTTCATCCTCAACTTTCGTAAACAAAATAAGGAGACTGTTTCCTCCTTGTCACATGTGTATGTGCATGAGAAGAGTTCTCTTAGTTACAAAGAGGTGTGATATTTGCTACATTCATCCTCAGTAGTAAGTAAATTCTGTAAACAAGTGACATCGACGATTCCGAACGACCGCCTACCACTCACAGGCTAACAGGTTGGCAGGACGATTTCACTGACAGTAAAAAGCTTCCCTCTCAGCTGCAAACACTCAACAGTAGACCGACGCACTTCTAGTCGTTTTACCCGGTATTCGCAATGCGGTGTAAACTGACGTTGTATACACAGCAGCACAACTCGTTTGCAGGACGAAACTCCGACTTCCAGCAAAACTCGTGGATTCCTCATCTTTTTCAGCGAATACGGATCTAAACTCCTACGAGAGCATGTTTACAAACGCCACCCGTTCAGTTAAACCTGTTTCCACTAGATCACAGGCAACTGATGTTTTCGTTAAACCTATATCATGACATGTTCCACAGGTCTTCGTACGTTGTAATTCCTTAAGAAGCACCCTAGAAATGGCATACTAAAGAACCTTCAAAGTCATTTACCGCCAACCAAAATACTTTAACATCTGTAAGAACGGAAATAACGATGACGTCAGCATTTACCGTATTAAAGCCGTAAATTTAGAAGGAAAGACTATTGATTCTGATGTCCCTCCTGTACACGTAAAAGGTGGAAGCCTTAAAATTCCAATGCCGTCACCGATGATAAAATATCAAAACGAAACAGCGATGATATATGAAAAACAGCAAAACCAGCATGACTTAGAAAACGGGTGAGATATCAAAAAACTCAAACGACAACTGAGTGGAGGTTACTACACAACGATTACATGTGACTCATTTGTTGGTATCGTTGTGTCAAAAACCCAAACAAAAACAAACACTTTCTTCCTAACATGCTCATATATGTATATTTTTTGCTTTTCTTAGAAAAACTCCAAATATCGCATGTTATTAATATGTATTTATACCAGTCTTTTCTTTTTTAGCACGTTTTATGTCCTTACGCACGTACGAATGTATTTTGACATGCACCTACAATTTCATTTTCTTTTCTTTTCCAGGACGGCTGGAAAAGATGAAGGACTGGCGAAAAATACGATGAATAGAAATTCTCATCATACATTTTTTCCATTGTTATATCGAACCACATGGATTCCTATATTAAAGAGAGACTACCAGATACTGCTAAACAGCAAGCTATCGGAAGAGTGTTTACCGACGGCGAGTTCGTTGGGACCAAACTTTTGGCCGGCCACATCTTAGTGTCATCATTGCGCTACTAGGAGGGAGAGTGAGCTGTAGCGGTAAATAAATCCCCAAAATAGGCAGTTCCGTACGTCTTCGACATTGATGCTGACCACGTCAGTTTTGCTGGACACGTCCCAACTGAAGGCGCTCGCTCACACATCCGTACCAGATCATCAGTGGGTACGACATACTACGCATTTCTTACAACCGTTAGCCAGCTCAGATCAAACGCTTCCCAATATATCGATGGCTTTCCGAATATATCTTCGGACCCCTTCGCTTATGACTTCTAATTTGACTGGGTTGGTATACTTCGATTATAAAGGTGTTACGTGTGAGGGTGTTGTCAAACCCCAAATACCTGTAGCGTCTTTGCCTGTTTATCATCCGGATCATGCCTGTAAACATGGCGTGTACCTGCTATTGCAGAAATATATTATTATTATCATCCAGATTTAAAAGCAAAGTTATTTCATGGAACCTGAGAAATACAGACTATCAATCTTCATCCATTTATTATTACTGTCTGTCTGCTCTGATGTATACCAGTAAAATATGTTCTTCCAACCCTTTTTTATTTAGCCCATATTACCACCGTTTCACAAAATGGTTAACCTAGGTTTCTTATACGAGAGTAGTTGATGATCTGCACTTTTTTGTCTTCGCTATCCATGGAAACAGTGACAGGGACTAACGAGTAAACTTAATAAACGTCTACAGAACTAAAGTATTTGTCAATCACTTCTTTCAAAAGACTCAAAGGGACGCCACATCAGTGAGTCAAGATCGTATCCCTCCAATCCTTCTGTAATGAACTGGTCACCAGTCAAATCTTTTAGGCGAACTAGGCAGGATTCATTTCATAGTTCTTAGCACCGTTTTAGTTTCTCTTCTTCGAACATGTTCCAAGTAAGCATGTTCTTAGACTGAGGGGATGTGCTGAAGTGGATTTTTCAAGATTAGACAAAAAGGAAACATGGAAGGCAGTTTCGAGTAATTTCAGTGTTTGCCACCCAATATTCTGAAAACAAGCTCCAAGAGCGAGTGAACTTTATTGATCGCAGGATGTCAATGGGGAGATACATTCAAAGCATAACACGTAGTGGTTCCTAAGTCCTTTACAGAGATGAAGAATTGTTAGTTTTAGAATACAATATTGTCTAAAATGTTTTGGTAGAGCACTGTGACCATTTTACTGCGCCACCCCGTATGACACGTTCCTCGTTCCCTCAAAAGCTAGCCTGGGAGTCCCACGTCGTCAATCTCTCCCTATTTTCAAAAAAACTGTCCATCTCAACCATTATCGCCTTCTTATTTGTTTGTCTTCGAGGTGCCGTTTGTAATGAGTCCAGAGGTTAGTTATTGTCAGCATTTGTCGTAACTAGTATATCTTCACTGCCAAGTCCAACGTTATCTGGTATTTTGAAAAATACTCTACATAGGTACTGTTTGGCTTTGCCCCCACAGCTTCTCATGTACAAAATCTACATTTTGTATCCTCGTATACATGTTCGTCTTCGTGATAGAACAAATCGCTTCACTTACTCCAACTAAAGCTCCATATCCCTCAACCTGAAATTAGTTTATTGTGTCAGGTGATATCGAAGCTTGGGACTGGTTTGCAGAGTCAGATTTTCAAAAGCACATCCTGACTGCTCAATCACTCGAAGTCACTGGTGCTCTAACTAGCCAGATTCATCACATCAAGTCTCTTTTGTACTAATACTCTTGCATTGTACTAACTACCTGGGAGGGTCGTCCTTCAAAGTAGGTCACATAGATCATTAAATCAAGTATTCCACAACATTGAATTAGGAAAATTTCTGGCAAACCAGAATGTTGAGAGTGAGAGGTTATGATGATATTTGATTTTAACCACACGATCTTTGAGGTTGAACATATAATTACTAAACAGATTAACATGTGACACTTAGAGAACGTTAAAAATGGTGAACGCTAGAACAACTAGTCGGAAACGGAATATCCTGAGTTGTATTAGTGTATTGAAACCCACACACATCAGGACGTCTAAACGATGCAAAACGACTCTTGAGATAACATATTCCGAAACATTTTGTTTTGAAAGTAGAGGACCAAGAAACTATGTTAATTTTCAATGAGCTCCTGTGTCTGCCCTATCTTCTCTTAAATGGATTGATCAGAGGTGTATACAAAACTTTTTCTGATGGTAGAACTTCAGAATTAGCTACACTGTAGTAAATGAGAACACCAGCGAGGACAACCAAACGTTTTTGAACACAAGATTACGGAATCTCCTAGTAAAATATAAGAACCATACAGTAAATAGTTCACTTGCAAAATGTCAGTCAGTTGTCTCAGACTTTACTGTTCCTTCGTTTCCACACCATTAGAAGTTTGGAACTTATTTCCCTCCGGAATATCTGAGGCTTTAATAACGGTGTAAAACGAAGTCTCCCGTGCCATATCTGTTTTTGGTGGAGTATCTGCAGGAGGCTGAAAAAAGTGTAAGAAAAAGTAAGGAAGAAAAGCAGAGCTCACAATATTCATGGAGGAATGGTTAATGTATAACCATTTAGTCTATTTGTCTGTTACTGAAGTATTTATTAGGTAAGAACATACTAATGTGTTAAAGAAAAATAAGTGTGGTCAAGGTTTGAGTGGGTAAGGAACTGTATAAATGAAGGTAGTTCAAAAGAAAGTATGGAATTGTGTAATTATAAAATGAAGTGCTGAAAACAGTATTCCGATACAAATGGCTGTCTCCCTTTTTTTCCAAGCTGTTTGAACTATCTTTTTTTTAGATTTTATAGTGTATAGAGTGGGCTTCGTTTTTAGCCAATTGTCTAGTTTGCTTGTAATAGGATTACTCGGTAGGAAGTGGAACCAATTTAGCATTTTTTTAAACATGATCTAAAGTGGCATTTTTCATGAATAATTTCGCATCAATACCGGTATTTCCTTTTCTTCGGTATCTAACCCTTCGTATTGTATGATACCATCTCACAATCTACGCAATAAGGAATATATTCTGGCGATTACAAAAACTCACACAAATTTACGCCAGAATTCTTTCGTTATTCACTACTCAACCATGTGGAACAGACTGCCAGTGAACTTTCGATGCAATAAAACTACAAACCAGTTCCGAAATCTTAATAATAATAATTTATTCTGAAATAACAGTTTCTTACATGAGGCATGCCGGTCTTCTCGATGATTTTCTTTCCGAAAGTGGCTTGTGTCACCTAATGAATATCAACATGCTTAACAACGATTTATGAAAAAAGGTCCGTCATCTATCTAATTGACTGAAAAGCAAAGTGAAACCTTCGAAACTTTTCACGTATATTTTGTTATATATTCATCTTAATATATGAAGTCTGCTTATGTTTGTATCTATAACTATTTCTGTTCCTAATATTATTATTGGTCTCTCGACATATTAAACATTTTTTCATCTCTTCTTGTCCTTCTAAACATATTTTATTCCCAAACATCCAAAGTCTACAACTAAAAACAAAAAACCCTATGTTACACTTAGACAAATTAACTGCTCAGATTCATTTTATCTTCACCACATATATTATATAACATATCGAAATTTAATTTTGATTGTCTTTTGCAATTAATTGTGACTATCATAGAATCATTCTTAATTATTATTGCACTAATGTTTATACTAATACCCGGTTTCACTCTGTATACTGTTACATAAATCTACATGTATTTATCCGAGTGCACTGAAGGTTTATTATTATCGTTACTATTATTGTTGTTATTTTCTTTTCTGATTTTTCTTATTTACTTATTTTATTTTTTAAATTATTCGTTTATCTCAAAAGTCTATATCCATTACACTATGATTATCATGGTTAGACCCTTTCACTAGGTGTTCATTTCTTTTCTCTCTCAAATACAGTTTTAAATGGAGAATATTCGAGGTCTAAATTATAAACAGACATGTTCAAGACTTCAGTAGAACTAAGATACTAAAAACAGAGTGAAATTGTTGATATGTGAAATAGGTTGTCAAGCGGTTAAATGATTTCATTTCTTCTCTTTTTTTACTTAGATCACGACAGCTCGTAAGTTAGAGCAAGTGAGTTTCAAATTCCGGGAAGAAAAACTGTCACTGAAATACATGCTTCTTCATAGCGTTGTAGTGTGTGCTACTGATGTCGATAAGTATAAGTAGTATATATCTTCAAACGAAAAAGAAATACCAGGAAGCAGAAGGTTAAGAATATCGAAGAAAAGAGAACAAGAACAGAGAATTATTAGTGTGGAAACGAAGGAACAGTAAAGTCTGAGACAACTGACTGACATTTTGCAAGTGAACTATTTACTGTATGGTTCTTATATTTTACTAGGAGATTCCGTAATCTTGTGTTCAAAAACGTTTGGTTGTCCTCGCTGGTGTTCTCATTTACTACAGTGTAGCTAATTCTGAAGTTCTACCATCAGAAAAAGTTTTGTATACACCTCTGATCAATCCATTTAAGAGAAGATAGGGCAGACACAGGAGCTCATTGAAAATTAACATAGTTTCTTGGTCCTCTACTTTCAAAACAAAATGTTTCGGAATATGTTATCTCAAGAGTCGTTTTGCATCGTTTAGACGTCCTGATGTGTGTGGGTTTCAATACACTAATACAACTCAGGATATTCCGTTTCCGACTAGTTGTTCTAGCGTTCACCATTTTTAACGTTCTCTAAGTGTCACATGTTAATCTGTTTAGTAATTATATGTTCAACCTCAAAGATCGTGTGGTTAAAATCAAATATCATCATAACCTCTCACTCTCAACATTCTGGTTTGCCAGAAATTTTCCTAATTCAATGTTGTGGAATACTTGATTTAATGATCTATGTGACCTACTTTGAAGGACGACCCTCCCAGGTAGTTAGTACAATGCAAGAGTATTAGTACAAAAGAGACTTGATGTGATGAATCTGGCTAGTTAGAGCACCAGTGACTTCGAGTGATTGAGCAGTCAGGATGTGCTTTTGAAAATCTGACTCTGCAAACCAGTCCCAAGCTTCGATATCACCTGACACAATAAACTAATTTCAGGTTGAGGGATATGGAGCTTTAGTTGGAGTAAGTGAAGCGATTTGTTCTATCACGAAGACGAACATGTATACGAGGATACAAAATGTAGATTTTGTACATGAGAAGCTGTGGGGGCAAAGCCAAACAGTACCTATGTAGAGTATTTTTCAAAATACCAGATAACGTTGGACTTGGCAGTGAAGATATACTAGTTACGACAAATGCTGACAATAACTAACCTCTGGACTCATTACAAACGGCACCTCGAAGACAAACAAATAAGAAGGCGATAATGGTTGAGATGGACAGTTTTTTTGAAAATAGGGAGAGATTGACGACGTGGGACTCCCAGGCTAGCTTTTGAGGGAACGAGGAACGTGTCATACGGGGTGGCGCAGTAAAATGGTCACAGTGCTCTACCAAAACATTTTAGACAATATTGTATTCTAAAACTAACAATTCTTCATCTCTGTAAAGGACTTAGGAACCACTACGTGTTATGCTTTGAATGTATCTCCCCATTGACATCCTGCGATCAATAAAGTTCACTCGCTCTTGGAGCTTGTTTTCAGAATATTGGGTGGCAAACACTGAAATTACTCGAAACTGCCTTCCATGTTTCCTTTTTGTCTAATCTTGAAAAATCCACTTCAGCACATCCCCTCAGTCTAAGAACATGCTTACTTGGAACATGTTCGAAGAAGAGAAACTAAAACGGTGCTAAGAACTATGAAATGAATCCTGCCTAGTTCGCCTAAAAGATTTGACTGGTGACCAGTTCATTACAGAAGGATTGGAGGGATACGATCTTGACTCACTGATGTGGCGTCCCTTTGAGTCTTTTGAAAGAAGTGATTGACAAATACTTTAGTTCTGTAGACGTTTATTAAGTTTACTCGTTAGTCCCTGTCACTGTTTCCATGGATAGCGAAGACAAAAAAGTGCAGATCATCAACTACTCTCGTATAAGAAACCTAGGTTAACCATTTTGTGAAACGGTGGTAATATGGGCTAAATAAAAAAGGGTTGGAAGAACATATTTTACTGGTATACATCAGAGCAGACAGACAGTAATAATAAATGGATGAAGATTGATAGTCTGTATTTCTCAGGTTCCATGAAATAACTTTGCTTTTAAATCTGGATGATAATAATAATATATTTCTGCAATAGCAGGTACACGCCATGTTTACAGGCATGATCCGGATGATAAACAGGCAAAGACGCTACAGGTATTTGGGGTTTGACAACACCCTCACACGTAACACCTTTATAATCGAAGTATACCAACCCAGTCAAATTAGAAGTCATAAGCGAAGGGGTCCGAAGATATATTCGGAAAGCCATCGATATATTGGGAAGCGTTTGATCTGAGCTGGCTAACGGTTGTAAGAAATGCGTAGTATGTCGTACCCACTGATGATCTGGTACGGATGTGTGAGCGAGCGCCTTCAGTTGGGACGTGTCCAGCAAAACTGACGTGGTCAGCATCAATGTCGAAGACGTACGGAACTGCCTATTTTGGGGATTTATTTACCGCTACAGCTCACTCTCCCTCCTAGTAGCGCAATGATGACACTAAGATGTGGCCGGCCAAAAGTTTGGTCCCAACGAACTCGCCGTCGGTAAACACTCTTCCGATAGCTTGCTGTTTAGCAGTATCTGGTAGTCTCTCTTTAATATAGGAATCCATGTGGTTCGATATAACAATGGAAAAAATGTATGATGAGAATTTCTATTCATCGTATTTTTCGCCAGTCCTTCATCTTTTCCAGCCGTCCTGGAAAAGAAAAGAAAATGAAATTGTAGGTGCATGTCAAAATACATTCGTACGTGCGTAAGGACATAAAACGTGCTAAAAAAGAAAAGACTGGTATAAATACATATTAATAACATGCGATATTTGGAGTTTTTCTAAGAAAAGCAAAAAATATACATATATGAGCATGTTAGGAAGAAAGTGTTTGTTTTTGTTTGGGTTTTTGACAGAACGTTATCAACAACCGAGATAAAACGGCTATATAATTATACATGCCACACTCAGTCAAGCTAAACAGCAGGAATGAAGAAGTCGGAATATGTATTTCAAACTTTATGTTCTCGGTGATGTCATAGGTAAAGTTTTATGAACCTTTCAGCTAATTCTTTGAGACGGTGACAATTGTTCTACTAATGTACCCGTCCACTTTAAACGTGATCATTAGTTTAATTGAGACCCATAATCCCCGTATTACAGCTTCTACAAAATTATGAAATACTAAACACCTTGTTTATGCTCCTTCGATTAGTTTCAGAATTTTATTCATTATCATCTCAAAATTTTACTGTTCCTATGGTGTCTCGAAGGTTATCGACGGCGGGATGTTTGATTGTGTGATCACTCGCTTTTTTATTACCTAAATAACTGAGATACAAATATCATAAACAAATTAATACTACCTTGAAAAATTGTCATAAACATCAAAAAGCGATCATACAGTATACATGATTTCATCTTAATCTGAGGGTATTCAGTTTTTTGGCTTGTTTATTACCAGCTGGATTACGTTTGTGTCTGTTGTCGTATATAAATGCAGAGTTATGAAATCTTTACTCCTTTGGAAACATCTTGCCTATTAAATTTAACACAAGCCCTATTATGGATGACTTAACCAAACAATCTGATTTCAAGCTATCGGTAAGGAATTTTAGAGTTTTACGATAACTTTAGATTCAGGGTAAAAGTATCAGAAATTATGGCTCTCATTCCAGGTATATGTTGTCTGTTAATCGCCTCCCCAAACACACTGACTCCCCTCCTTCTTATTATAGATCAGCTATCAGCTTAGGACCTGTAAGTTTAGTCATTTTTAGATTTTTAATGTTGCTATAATTTTATTGGTAACTATTGGTAAGAGCTTGGTTTTACTCAAAGTAAATATCAAGCACCGGATTACATTCTGTATGATTTTGTGGCGTTGAATTGAACTTCCATGATTATTGTACTTGAAGTCTTTCTCCCGTGCTACCAGACACGGAAGCCCGTTAAGCGAAAGCTTCTTCTATTCCGTCCTCAACCATTTGAACCATTTGAACCATTTGTCAATAAGGGAAACCTTATTCAGCAAGGTACTATTGAGATAGTCATTAAATTCACTTTGAGATATCTTGCTTTGATGTTTAAGAGTATTTGAATTGTTGTATGAACTAGTAATACCACAATCAACGCAACTTAATCAAAATGTATTAGATGAGCACGAACAAATGGCCCGTATTTGGAATTCTAAATCAAAACAGTCATCGATGACTGTTTTGACGTAATGAACCGAAGATTTATTTGTATTGATTAATACAAAATCTTTGGTTCTTATAAACACCACATCCATCGCAGCTTAAATTAGGGGTGTAAGTGTCTGTAACCGATTGTACGTCTTCTTCTCAAGTTCATATTACATCTGTTCGACAGTGTACTGGATATAAACTCTGTATTATCTAGAATGAACTCGTTAGTATTAGAATTAAAAATCGAAATTGGAACAATCTAACCAGGGTCCTGGAAGTGCATACAATCATTATGTCCGTTATGCACTGAAACCACTGATACCTAGAGTTTGAACCATAGATTTTCCAACGCTGTCCTCCCTCACGAAATAATGTTGAATCTTCATATCTTCAAGTTATGAATAACCTGGCTTCGTTTAAGACATATTTCACATATTGACTAGAGTATTCATTAGAAATGGCTTCATGATAAGTATAAACAACAGTTGATATAAAGCTATCCGAATTGTAATGAAAATCAAGCTCACTTAGTGTTCGTGCTTTGCATTCAATAAGTTTCCCACAAAAAGCAAATGCATTATGAGGATAAATAATATATGATATGACATCAAGATTTGGTTTGTCCGAAATATTCCCCTCAAATTTATTAAGAATTTCATTGAAAAATAATGGATCATTATGAAAATCAGCATCTACCAAAACTGAATCCGGTTTTCGATCATGATTGGACTCATTCAACATATTATTCTCAGAGTTGTGAGAAATTTCATCAGAAATTTGTGAATCATTATGACAAACCATATCTGGTACCATAACATGAGAAATCTGATAAAAAAGTGTTTGATTGGAAACTTTTGTCTCACAGTGATTCCGGGTTTCATTCAACTTTGAACTGCTATGTGACGTTATACCCCTTCTAGAAGTCTTGAATAAAGATAAGTGATCATTAGAAACATCCACCTTGGTAGAATCACAAATTTTAGCATTAGTCTCAACGAAATGAACCATGGTATTGCAAAGTGAGTAAATATCTCCAGTTTCACCACATTTAAAGCATTTAGAATTACGAAATAAACATGAATTACATGGGTGAAACTTGCCACAGAACAAGCATTTACCGAACTTGTGCTCATCTTCATGAACTGTTTTACAATTTATTGAATTGTTATGTGAATAACCTTGACTACGTATTGGACTGGGACGACGTAGTAAAGTACTGGAATTCGTGATGTTCTGGCGAGTCATTTCATCGAATTTTTCTCCCTTACCGCATTCAGAATTTGCATACATTAGATGGTCCAGCAGTAGTTGCTTGAGAGTTGCATAAGGGAGTGAAATCAGGTTGTCTGGAAATGTCAAAGTCATTGCTAAGCTGTATGCTTCTTTTACGATGAATGTAAGGAAATGAGCCCCAATATTAAAACCCTCAATATCTTCCTTGGTTATAGCCCAAATTTTGAACCTGTCCATGTAATCCTCAAAATCATTAAAATCCGAATGTATATCGAACCGTTCCATTACAGGCTTCATCGCGACGCCAATGGGTTGTTTAAGAGTATCTGAATTGTAGTATAAACTAGTAATCCCACAATCAACACAACTTAATCAAGATGCATTAGATGAGCATGAACAAATGACCTGTATTTGGAATTCTAAATCAAAACAGTCCTCAATACAAAGAAATCATTGGTTCACATAAACACCACACTTGTTATTCGCTTTATATGTACTAATTCAGGCTATGGCTGACTTGAAATCCGAAGCAACGACTAGTTTGTAGCTTTGGGAAGAAAAGTATTTGTGCTAGGTTGACATCTTACTGTCCCTTTTTATCCATGAAAATTTTTCAACGGCAAATTTCTTGCTTAGTGTTTTTAGCTTTTATCGAAGAAACGTCTATAGCTGAACTGTCGACAGTAACATATTTTTTCAGTGAAATCTTGCAGTGAAACTTCGTTAAGTTGTTTGAATGTGTATTAGGTATATCGACGAACTTATCAGTGTGCTATACCAGTAAACAACTCCGCATGCAGCGCCTCCGGGAGCTACTGCTGATCTCAAGCCCGGATAAAGGAGGAGGGTTGTGCATAGGGTTAGCGACCCCGTCCTGTAGATAACCAACTTGCTGAAAAAAACGCTAACCAGGAAAAATTATTCAAAACATTTAAACTCTGCCCTGGGAAGTGAAGGAAGAATTGTGATGCCTCATGATGAAAGCCGAGTTCCTTCGGACGTCACGAGGCCGATGCCCCTTCTAACAACCATAGCAACAATTTTTATAGGTACATGGAACGTCTGGACAAAGTGAGAAACCGGGAGAGTTTTCCAAATTACTGCAAAAACGAGTAAGTACAACCTGGAGGTGCTTGAGATCCGTGAAACATTGAACGCAGGTCGTACAACAACGACTAGCTTCATGGGAGCTTCTGTTATGCTCTGGCCATGAAGAAGAAAATGCCCCCGCACACACACAAGGAGTTGCATTGATGCTATCCAAACAAGCACACAATGCACTTATAGGATGGGAATCTCATGGACCAAGGATCATCAAAGCCTTCTTCAAAACAAAGAGAGAGGGCATTACAATGAACGTCATCCAATGCTATGCGCCTACCAACGACTGCAATGAAGACGTTAAAGATCAATTCTACGATAGGCTGCAGTCAATCGTCGACAAGTACCCGACAAAGGACCTCACCATTCTGATGGGAGATCTCAATGCCAATGTTGGAATGGACAACAGTGGATACGAAGACACCATGGGACGACATGAACTGGGAGAAAGAAACAAAAATGGTGATAGATTCGCAAACCCATGTGCCTTCAATAAACTGGTCATAGGTGGCACCATATTCCCACACAAAGCCACTTGGATTCCACCGGATCACTCTACACAGAACCAAATCGACCATATCTGTATCAACAAAAAGTTCAGGAGGACGATGGGGGATGTGAGAACCAGGAGAGAAGCTAGATGAATACCTTTCCTAACGTACATAAAATTACTTTGTGTTGGCAATGAGCAATTTTTATCATATTTCTGGAGCTATTACAACTACTGTGTTGTACGTGTAATTTATTGTCATTAAGCATCGCCTAGAACCGTTCTAGGGTTACTGCCGGTCCAAAGCCTGTGTAAAGGAGGGTGAAGAATAGGGTTAACAACCCTGCCCCCTAAAAACGAACCTTCCTATAAAGCACTAACCAGCAAAACATCGTTGATATTCTATATCATTTTTGATAATTCACCATAAAATAAGATCCTGGTAACTTAATGGAAGTGATATTTTTCTAAACTATTTCGCACAACTTTATTTTTAAATGTGATATTGGTTTTTCTCTTTTAGCCATGTCTCAAGAGTTTCCAGTCACAACAGTTCTGTTTTTAAATACCTTCAGTCAATGTCTATAAGTATAAGCTTTGCATATGTATCCAAGTATTTTTCGGAAGTTTCAGTTTCGAAATTTGTTTATTTACTATTTGTTTGATAATTTAAAACACACGGTTACTATTCTGAGATGGCCACTGACTCTTAGTTTAATTGATTTCGATGTTTAACGTACACTTCAGCATTTCAGAGTGACATAGTGCCTTTCGTTGTGGAACAACACCCCATTCTTTGGTCATATTAATTCTGTAGTAAAAGCTGAAAACTCTGGTTGTTAGTTTCAACTTCGTTTTGACATTTAGCGGCGGTTCTACTATCATTTTGAGCTTTCCAAGCTGTTTTACATGTATAAAAGTCTATGCCGCATCTAAATGTTGCATTTTTAAGTCAACTGTTAGCTTAAACACCTACTTATGACTTTTTTTTAGAAATCAGGTTCCACATTATGGAACAGCAGCACATCAAGTCTCGGTGGCAATGTAAGCGACAGATTAAATGACTTGAATGGTCGTATTTCAAAACTTGAACTAAATGAAAGCACTAATTCAAGTAAAAAACTGTGCAATGGTTACCATACCGATTATTTCCCGGTCAAAAATCTCCAGTCAATAGATCGACGGGAATTTTCGGAAATCAATAACACAAATAGCAGCAAGAATTCTGTACGTTGTTTGGACTCTTCCCTAACTAGTCCTCTTCGTGCAACAGTTAGTCTTCCAGTAAACTCTCATCACTCATATCACAGAGGTGGACTTGTGGGCCTTAATAATCTTGGAAACACTGTAAGTCAAATGTTATCACTTTTTTAGTATACATTATAATTTAACTTTTCAAAGTAACGCTGAGCTGGTTTTTAGCACTTAGCATTAGTGTTTAAACATTTCTAGATTGCGTCAATCAAATATCACTTAAACTCACTTCAGATACATTGAGTAATCAAATAAGTAAACAAACAAGTTATTATTTATTTAATAAAGAAGTTCACAATAAACTGAAAAAAGAAAACATTAATTAAATTCACTTAGTATTGTTTGTTTGAATCTTCCCATTGATGTTTTAGGACTGCAACTGGTCAGTCTCTAATTAGCATATGTGCTTACTGTGCGTAGTACCTTGATATAGCCTTAATTATTTTTAAGAGGTCATGTTACCTAGTGGTTTTATATCTTTTAAAATCTGTGAAATTTAATTATCAAAGACTCCCCCCCCAAAAAAAAGATGGAAATATAGTTGCAAAAATTTTACCAAATGACGTGATAATGATATGGTATACAAAAATATATAAAAATTGATAAAAAAAAAGTTAAAACAATATTTACACCTATAATAAAACCTTTCTATCTTCTCTTTCTCTTTCTTGATTGTATGGAGTAAAATGAGGGTAAAAACAGTATTATGTCAACAAAAGATATTTCAATGTTTACAACTGGACGTTCAGCGAGATTCGAACCCAGGACCTACCTGTCTCGAGCCGAAGCGCTTAGCCAATAGACCATTGAGCCGGCATCCGATGGTGTTTATGTCTAACTCCAACCAATCCACGAAGTTGAGCAACCGTTCACCAATTGTCTTCAGTGAGTTGATATCTCACAACAGACCTGGTTTGAACTCAACTGATCACTGTTTGTCACTAGAACTTCAGGATTTACCTCTCAAAGTCAGTCACTAGTGGATGGGCACTGCTGATGAGTCCTACAATAGGACGAAACTGCCGTCCAGTGCTTCCAGGTTTTCCATGATGGTCTAGCTTCAATTGAATCATGATTTCAACTATGAAAATACTAAATGTCCACAAAAACCCCTTCTGATATTAAACAAAATGACTCTTTTTTTTCACATGATAATCCTTTAAATTCCATATTATGTTCATCATTTAAAATAAAAATGATTGACTTATATATAATTAAAGTAAAATTAACAGAAATATATAATTATTTCATTATATTTCTATAATTAGTATCATTTTTTTCTGTTTTCCTATTTAAAATGATGTAGGGGATTAATTGAGTGAAAAAAATTGTTACTAACATAGATACCATATTTATTTTAATCAATAATGAATATTCTATCATAGATGATATGTGATTTAGTATCCAGTTGTATTAGTACCTAATCCTATGTTGTAGCTGACTGACTGACTGACCATAATTAAAAAGGGAATTTAAATAATTACACAGATTTCCTTTAGAAGAAAACTAAAAGTAAGTTGAAAATACTACAAAATGACGTTAAAGAATAAAATGTTGTTAAGTGAATGAATCTAATTGTGCAAGTGAGACTAATTTATGACATATCATTATAATTATCAGAAGGGGTTTTTGTGGAGATTTAGTATTTTCATAGTTGAAAGCATGAGTCAATTGAAGCTAGACCATCAGGGAAAACCTGGAAACATTGGTGATGTAATCAGCGAAACAAGAAGCCTTAACAAACTAAGGATGCTATTTTTGGGGACGTTATCTTATTTATTTCAAAGCTTATATAACAGTAACATTTACTTTTGTTCCTAGTCTATTCTACAGATTATGAGCTTTTGTTTGATGTATGATTCATTGCCATAGCATTTTCTATTCCAAAGCTATTGTAATTCAGACGTAACCTTTTGTACTCTATTTTCTACTCTAATCCTCCAGTTTTGGACATAATTGTATTTTCCTAATTATCGTATGTTGTGATCGGGTTAGTCACCTATTTATTTATGTATCTTTTTACACTAATCTGGAATTCGGGTACCAGATAAGATTTTGGAATAAAGCGAGTAGTGTTCCAGTTATCTTGTCTTCTCTCTTGCGCACGTGCTTGTCAGTCAATCAGGGATAAAGTAGTTTTCGTCTCTCTACCCCCACTTCGAACTCACACATACTATTCTTAAGCTTAGGCCAGTCAGCCTATCGTGTCAAGCTGTGTTAAGCTTATCCTCGGCACGAAAGTGGGTAGACAGATCAAGGACGTCACAATTGGACCGCCGTTTCGTGCTATTGTGGGACTCCTCAGCAGTGCTCATCCACAACCCCACCTCGCGAGATTCGAGCCCAGGACCTATCAGTCTCGCGCCAGAGCACTTAACCTCTAGACCACTCAGCCGGCCGGAGTCAAACGGTGATAATATTTCACTTCAACCAATCCACAAAATTGAGCGACACATCTACCATTGTCTTCAGTGAGTTACTATCTCACAACAGACCCAGTTGTTTTAAATGTAAATAAGCTTATAAAAGTTAAAGTAATAACAAGATTTTTCCGAAGAAAAATTATTTGAAAAATACAGTTCTAAAATATTTAAGATAATTTTATTAACCAATAGGAAGCTAAGAAAGTGGAGAAATTTCAAAAATAAAACAATAAAGTTCATTGTATTATTTCATGAGCGAATATGTAGATAGAAATAATTGGGTTTAAACTATTTTATTGTGATAAATAATTTTTTTCTATTCCTAATATCAGTCAATCAGCTACAACGTAGGATCAGGCACATATATGCATCGGTTCAAGTTGCCATACCTCGTTAGCACAACAAGATGAAAAAATATTCATAAAAGTAATTAATTTAGTGGTGTTAGTATATAAAAGATAAGTTGTATATAAGGATGTAGTATACGAAGGAAGATAGATATGAAACGATTTCAATCTCAAGGTTTAAGGAAAGATAAAGAGTGTATACACCTACCCCATTGTGATCGATTCTGAGTCATGTCACACAGAGTCTCCGACCATACCACGTTAAAAGCACCGGTTTTGACATGAAGTGAGAATAACAAAGTCACATATTCAATAAACTATTATATTAAATATGTTTTCATTTCCATTAACTAAATAGACACATACGCGAATTAATTTTATGAGTATGAGGATTTGTGACGATTGTAGTTGATCTAAACTAGAACATCACTAAAAAGTTGTAAGCTTCCTGCACGAATCAAATTTTACGGATAAATGTATGGCATAGATATTCTATGAGCTGAGTGATTCAATTGAGAAGTTATCATTATTGTTCTGATCAGACGCATCAGTGTGTGCATGATTCAAAATTAGTACAACCTAAAGAATCCACTTCAATCAGTCAGGTATTTTGGACGTAGAACCTGGCACTTGTGAACACAGGTTCAAGTGGCCATGCTCCATTACCACGGCGGGATGAGACTTTAAAAAAAGTTCCATGGTATTAAAGTCAGTTTAGTAAACGAGAATATCAGTGGAGACAATCAGATTTGTTTTAATACAGCATTACAGAATATCTTGGTAAAATCTGAGAACCATACAGTAAATACTTCATTCGCAAAATATTCATCAATTGTCTCAGACTTTGTTGTTCCTTCATTTCCATTACAATCGTACAGGAAGGAAGACAGATATGAAGCAATTTTAATCTCAAGGTTTAAGGAAAGATAAAGAGTGTATACACCTACGCCATTGTGATCGATTCTCAGCCATGCCACCTAGAGTCTCCAACCATTGGTTACGATAGTCACCTCTAACAGCACACTAATATCATTTTATCATTGTTTTACTAAATAATTGTTATCAGTATAGGGTTGTGGAGATTGTTGAATTTAGATTGATATCACGAATAGATCAATGTTAGACCATCGAAGGTCCTGGGATTCAAGTTCCACATTCAGGATCGTGGATATATACTGCTAAGGAGTCCCATACTAAAACGAAACAGCTGTCCAATGTTTCCCGATTTTCAATGATAGTCTAACATTGATCCATTCATTATATAAACTAAATAATCGTTATATATATATATACTGTTAATTGATACTCAAATTGAGTTAATTATAAATAACATTGAATCGATTAGTAATTTGGCAAGCATCTAGTGTTGAGAAAATATTTCAAATATTAATAACATTCCTATTGAAAAAAAAGATTGACAAGTAGAGTGTCTTAGTTTATAGAACTGTGAGTATACAGTAGTGTTTTTAAAGATTTTTTTTGTGTGAATAAAATTGTTCGATCAATTTGTTCGTTGATAATAATGTTATCCGTAAATCTATTCTTTTAGAGTTATTTATAAATAGCTTTTGTTATATACTCTATCGATTAAGTGCTCGCGTGCGAGACTGATAGGTCCTGGGTTTGAATCTCGCTCGAGAGGCGGGATCTTGGATGCGCACTGTTGAGGAGTCTCACAACAGGACGAAACGGCCGTCCAGAGCTTCCAGATTTTCCGTGATGGTCTGGCTTCAATTAACTCATGATCTCAACTATATAAAATATACTATAATTGTTAATTAACTTGTTTACCTTTAACACGTTACCTTCTTTTATCCATGTGTGTTTGACGGCTCAGTGGATATGAAATAATACTTAAGTGATTGCAGTAGATAAAACTATTAGGTTATTCATTTAAACCAAATCCCAAAACAAATGATATGTATATGTATGATAGGAAATTTCAACTATTAATCTCAGTCATAGTTAATGTAAAGTCCAGCAACATTATTTGTCAGCGCAAGTTACCATATCTTATCAGCACGATACAATGAAATTAACAACTTGAATAGCAAAATCGTAATGGTAATTGTGAAAGTGATCGTAGTGTGAAAGATTAACCATCGAGAATATAATTCGAGAAGATAGGATGAAAAAGCATGTTAGAAAAAAGTCCTTAAACTCAAATATCTAATGGAAAATAATGAATGAACAATTGATTAAGATATGATGTTTTACATTTTTGCATCAGAACCAGTTCTTCGATACTGAAAACTTTTTAATATTACTTACTGGTTACTTGAATTTGTTTCTAGCTACCTTTTTATTTATTTCAAATATACAGTTGTTAATCAACCGGGCTCAATCATTGTTTGTTAACTATCATATATATGAGTTTATGGTATACATTAGTGGCTCAATAATCATCTTTCCATCTAATTTTTTAATCAGTAGATGTCTTCCACTATTTCTATTGAATGTAACTTGCTTCATTATGAAATGTGATACATATAGGAAAGTGGGGGACATTTTTTGTATTGGCTTGCTATTTTACCATATATAATATTATTTACGTTAACTCTATTTAGTTAACTCTTTCCCTCATAAAAATATTCTAATTCCTTTCTCCTTTTCTTCATCTTAGTGTTTTATGAATTCAATTCTTCAATGCTTAAGTAATACAGCTCCACTTACTGAGTATTGCTTGGAAGATCGATTTTTAAAAGACATCAATAAATCAAGTTCCATGAATGGGTTGTTATTTCATTGTAGGTTGAGTTTGAATTGTTATTTTGTTTTTTGGTTCTGTTTTGTTTCTGTTTTTATGGTATGAATTAGTATTTATCCTGTTTTTCTTTAAATTTTATGGAGATTTTAGTATTTTCATAGTTGAAATCATTAGTCAATAGAAGCTAAACCACTATGAAAAACCTGGAAGCACTGGACGGCTGTTTCGTCCTATTGTGGGACTCCTTAGCAGTGCGCATCCACGATCCCTGAAATCTCCACAAAACCATTTCTCATTATAATCATATGCTCATTAGTGACTGACTTCAAGAGATATCTCCTGGAGTTCTAGTGAGATGCAGTCACCAGTGGAGCTCAACCACGTCTGTTGTGAGATATCAATTCACTGAAGACAATTGGTGAACGGTTGCTCAACTTCGTGGATTGGTTGAAGTTACACATTAACACCGTTGGATGCCGGCTGGTTCAGTGGTTTAGAGGTTAAGTGCTCTGGCGCGAGACTGATAGGTTCTGGTTTCGAATCTCGCGAGGCGGGGTTGTGGATGCGCACTGCTGAGGAGTCCCACAGTAGGACGAAACGGCCGTCCAGTGCTTCCAGGTTTTCCCTGGTGATGTAGCTTCAATTGACTGATGATTTCAACCATAAATATGTAGCTTTTTGCAATAATATTTGCGGTAGACATACTCTACTTACTACCCAGTAAAATGTATCGATGAAGCTATCTTTAATCTCTCATTCAAACAATAATAAAGTTTAATAATCTTCATTTGGAATTTTAACTTTGGTTTTCTGACTTCTTAATCACTAAAATTCTATTACCATTTAAGAAATAAAGAATTCATTAGAAATATGAGTAGAGAGAAGAAATATCTCTTTACTCTATTCATTTGTTTTTTAATAAGCGTCTCAATAGGAATTTCCACCATAATAAAACATTTGATCAATCGATTATATTAACAATACACTGGGTAAGTCAGTAAAAACACTTTTTTGGTGACCGATGGTTTGTTTCTCCGTTCTCAAATAGCATATGCTGATTTAATGAAAGAAATTTGGGATCCTGATATGGCTAATTCTTCCACTAGTCCAAGTCGATTTAAAAGTCAAATTCAACGATTTGCTCCTCGATTTATGGGATATTCGTAAGTATATATTTTATCCTCATTTAATATTGTTTTTTTTTGAATCTTCTCATCGATGTGTTAGGACTGCAACTGTTCAGTCTCTAATTGGCATATGTGCATACTGTGAATATTGCCCCGATATAGCCTTAATTCACAAGCACGGTAGGCAAAGATGGATAGTGGATAGCAGTGGAATCCAGGACGTGCGTTTCGTCCTTTTTGGGACTCGTCAGATGCATCTGAGAGTTGATGTTCACTCTGAGACTCGAACCCAGTATCTTTCGCTTGAAGCGCCATCGCGTTATTCACTCGGCCAGCTGCAATCCTAACACATCGATGGGAAGATTAAAAAAAATACAATACTAAATGAATTTAAACTTCACCCCATCGCACAAGCAAGTGGCTATCAGGACTCAGTAGTTAAGTGAATAACGCGATGGCGCTTCAAGCGAAATGGGACGAAACGCGCTTCGTGGATTCCACTGCTAGCCACTATATATATTTTATTATTTGTTAATATTTTTTATTTATATAGAAGTTTAAGTAGTGTGAATAAAAGGATATTTTTGATAGTAATTTTTAAATATTTCTATTAATGGATATCAAACGTGGTCTACAAAAAGTGCAATAGATGTGTAAGTCACAAACGTGTGTAAACTTCTTATTTGACAAGCCGGTTGAGTATTGTAATCTAAGTATAAAGCGAAGTTAATGAAATAGCTCTGAAATAGATTGGAAAGGTGCATTTTTCTTTATTCTTTATTCTTCTATGCAAATCCTTTTCTTCAGTTTCATTTGTTCATTTCAATCTACATTTCTTGTGTTTATTTCCCCCTCTGTAATCGATATTATTATTTCCTGTTTCTTTTTTTGTCAACCGTACTAAAGTAATCTTAACAATTTGGGTTAATGCACATTCTTACATAGCTCTTATCCTGTTGCTGAGTAACTAACTCTCTTGATGATAGATCGCTATGTTTGAAGAAATTAGGGTATTACCTAAATCGGCGAACGGAACGAAGGATCAGCGATACAACAACAAGACAAGCTGAAAAATTCCTATGCGTCCCAGCCCTGCTAACTAGAGGGAGAAGACCAGGTCCAGATGAGTGAATAATATACTCCACAGGCAGTCAGAAGCACGAATAACCACATGCACACCACTCAAGCGTATATACAGCATAGAAATATCTTTGAGAAATTTCACAAAACAGCATATTAAAAGAGGCAACGAACCAATGATATTCAAGGTCCTCCCAAGTGGAAAATACATTTTGAAGGTGAAAGTGGGCGCTTTTGATGCGAAAACGAGAAATTCAAATTTCCGAAACAAGATTTTTAAAAAAATAAGACGTTGACCGAGTAATTTTTAGGGATCTAGCATCCCTAACACAGATCACATCAATATATCTTCCAAATTGTCGTTTTAATCATATTTTCAGTTTCCATATGTATTTTTGCAAATAGTTGATGGAAAAGTAACATAGATTGTAACCTGTGTGTTTACTAACTTTCAAAAGCTGTTATCCACCCCTTAAAAATAAGTATTTGTCTCATACCACAGATTGACTTAGGTTAGCCAACCTTTGTAAACATAAAAGAACTAGAGAAGCGGTGATCAGTGGAATTCAACCATATCGGGAGTAAAGCACACTATTAACAGCAATGGATGATGGTCACAATGCAACGAGAACTGTCTGAAGTTAGAAATGTAAACATTTGGTATCAACTTTAGTGATCTGAAAGTCATGGATGCTTATTATGGTCATGGATAGACTAGGGCAAGACGGCTATCCAATCCTTTCTGGATTTAATTAGTTGTCTAACCAAAATGTAGCAGCTCACATCGTTTCCAATTCATGGTTCTTTTTACATAAAAAGCAATAGAAGCAGCAGTTTAATCCATCTATTTGAATACTAGCAAAATGATCAATAGTTGAAGAGAGTAGTTTAACAATATAAATAATAAGAATTCTCTCACAAAGTATTTGCTATATTACTGATTAGTTCTTCACCGCCCCCCAAAAAAAGAAAACAAATGTTATAATTAATACCGTTTGGAGATATTCAGTACCCGGAATTACATACTTTGATTATGAAGTGTTTACATTGTCATTCTGGACAGCATAATATCTATATCACGAATGAGATGGCTCAAAATCGTTTGCAATGGCGAAGGTGCATTCACTCTTTGTGTTCTTCCGAATTCTAGTCTTCTGAATTCCTTATTTCCCTATCCTTTTTCTCTTTCCAAATTTATTTCACTGTATTATGCTCCTTCAATAACATCTTCAAACCCTAATCTTTCGGATCACTGCTTATACTCTTACCACTTCTACTACTAACGGATTTGAATCGACAACTGCATCTCTGTGCTAATGTGGTATGGCAACTCGAACTTCGTACGTACGTTCGTACGTACGTACGAAGTTCTATGTTGTGACTGACTGACTACTGAATATCTCTATTATTTGTAAGATTTAAGTAAAATCTAATTAGAATTTTACAGATTACAGATAATTTACGTACTTTCAAATCAGTATTGACCATGAATGGTAAAAATCTAGATATTTTTTATTCATTCATTCAATCAATTATAATCAACGTAGAATATGGCACAAATGTGTATCGATCCACCTTGTCACATTTCACATAAGAAAAGGAAGCTAAATGGAAAACAGAAGAGCAGAAATAATTATTGTAATGGGATCAATTTCAGTAGTGATCTGAATGTTTAAGAAATATGGTTGAAAATAATATAAATATTTTGAGTGAATAATTTCAATGATGCGTTAATTTGCTTCAATGCAACTCATTTACTAAAAACTCCAGATCTTGGTATCCGGCTGAAAGTCTCCAAATGCCCTGGTACGGTCAAGAGTGAAGAGAGTTCGCTCCCCCTCTCGAAATGCTCTCACATGGCCACGCGTATATAGCATCTGTCAGGGAAGTCCTACTTACTGCCTTCTCGTGGCGGGAGTGTTGTTTACGAAATTGAGAGGATGAAAAGCGAATGTCCGACGCTTTAACCGGGTTGGTGGATGTGGAGTGTCCACCTAGGGGAGTTGGGAAACCCAGATTCCAAACCAATAATGCACATGAGCTCCAGTATCCTGAGGGAACAAATGGCGTATGAGTCAGTCGTTGGTCACCGGCTACCATTGAACTGCATCTCCTTACTATGCTCCACTGCCTTATGGATCAGATCTTTAGGTCAAAGGCTCCTAGTGTGGTCCCCTAATAAAACCACCTGCTTCAGTTTAGACATCTGGGCAGTATCACAGCCCTCACACAAATCGGATGAGATTTGTGTGGCGCATATATATCTGGTGCTTCCTTGTACCAATATTTATGTGTTTAAATAAATAAAGTCCGGTCGAAATAGATAGAAAAGAGATTCGAATCTATGACCTAATGGTTGAAAACTTAGTGGCCTAATTAAACAAATGATCCAAATCATCATGTTACTACTATTTTGATAGTTATCTTGATAATTTCATCTGGTTGCATTGATATATTGTGGCAACTCGGACAGATGTACATATGTGGTAGATACTACATTGCTTATATCTGACTAACCTTATGTAGCAAATATACTATGTGACGAATAGATTGTGAGAGATGACCTAGGCAATAACTTGTATGGTTAAACATGCTTCTAATTGATAGTTGTAAAGATTATAATCTTATTAGAAAACATTTCATTAAATTCCAGGTATTTTCTTAATTTATGTATATATCGTCTAAAGACCCCTCCATCTTATCAAAAGACTAATATTTGAACGAAGAATATTCTTTTCGATAAATATGTATGAAGTTATTGTTTTATTTTTCTTTGCTTTACAAAAGAAACCTATCGAGACATTTTGTGATGAGAATTCTATATCGTACTTACTTACGTAAGCCTGTTTCCCCTCGTGGAGGAGCATAGGCCGCCTATATCGTACCAAATAAATAATATTGAGTAAAGCTGTTAAGAGTAATAATAATGATGACAGTAATAATAATAATAATAATGCTAAAACTATCTTTGAGGTATTAATAAACTTTTAAATTTTCCATCTTGTATACATGTTTACATTTGATGTTTTGATCTTATGAATATTTCACTAGTGAGAGGGGGGTTGTTGATATTACCAATATGATATTTTGTCATTAGTGAAGATCTTTTATAAACTACCTTTTTTTCTCTAGTCAACAGGATTCACAAGAATTCTTACGATATGTATTGGAAGGTCTTCATATGGAAGTAAATCGTGTTCAAAAGCGTCCAAATCCTATTAAACCAGATTATGAAGCGGAAGATTGTCTCCCGTGAGTTTGATTTTTTCATATTTTTTTTTAAAAAGAAAGTTCGGCAGGATTATTCTACACATATGACCGCTGAATTTATGAATGGCCTTGAGATTAACCAAGCACAATGCGGCTTTCGTGTAAGACCATTAAAAATATAGAAAAATGAAAGAAATACAAGGATTAGGGGTTTTAATATAATTAATAAACTTAATAGTGCTAAATATCGATATTTCGTACTGTGCATCATAGTTCCGTTGTCCGAAAAGACCATGTTTATTAGCTTTAGATCTTTTAAAACCCGACTCCTAACCATAAAACTGTTAGACCCTAGTTTATTTATTTAAACACATATATATTGGTACAAATGAGCACCAGATACATATGCGCCACACAAAATAATGAAAGTAGGAAGAGAAGGGATGAAAAGATAAGGCAGACTGAAATGTACAACCAGAAGACTCTTTCAGTTAAGAAAGTTAGAACCATTCTTTATGTAGAAAGTAAAAGAAGGTTGCAGCAGGATCGCCACTGGCTTCTATTCTGAGCCATATCTGATAACGTCTCTAGCCACTGTGTTGCACCATCTCTCGGACCCCAACCAGGGAGTCGTGAAGGACCAACAGAAGCTAGCCCTTTGCAGCTCTATTTCATGCCACGACACCATGTCATACACTGACCTCCTTTCCGCTTTTTCCAACCAGTCCCAGAGTCGGCAAATAATGCACGACGTGGAAGTCTCTGGGACGACATTCGTAAAACATGTCCAAGCCACCGAAGTCGGTGTTTCAAGATGGTGACATCAATTGAAATGTCGTCTCTGCGCCCGAACACACGATGCCGAACCTCTGCATTACTAACATGGTGTTGCCACTGTATGTCAGCGATCCTTCGGATACAACGATGATCGAACACAGAGAGACGTCTAACATCCTCAACTCGGAGAGGCCAGGTTTCACAAGCATAGAGCAAAACTGCTCTCACCGACGCGTTGTAGATCCGACCTTTTACAGCCAGACTAACATAGACCCTAGTTCCTAATCCCAAAGTTCTCAAGACTAATACTCCTCAACATTAGTTCTTCATATTAATAATTAATTAATATTAATAACCTGAAACCTGAATTCTAACTTTAAATCTCTTAACTTTAACACTCCTAACCTAAACATCCTGACCTTAACAGTTCATTCAGGAAACTACCATAAAATCTTTTTGAAATATGAAATATAAAGAAAATTAAAAGTTTTAGCAACAAGCTTTCCGTAACAGCATTTTAGATTCTGCCATCGGTTAGCTTAATTCTAATTGGTCGTTCAAGGATGTCGGTCTGGTATACCCTTACCGAAATTTCCTTTCTATTATCTTTATTTCGATAGGAAAGTGTATAATTATGTATTATATTTTATTTCCCTGTAATGTTATATTAAAAAAGACTGTGAATCAGTTGTCATTTATTATATACCCTCAGCCCCCAAATGCCCTGGTACGGCCGAGAGTGGGGAGAGTCCTCTCTCTCTCGAAATGCTCTCACATGGTCACGCGAATATATAGCCTCTGCCAGGGAAGTCCTACTTACTGCCTTCTCGTGGCGGGAGTGTTGTTTACGAAATTGAGAGGATGAAAAGCGAATGTCCGACGCTTTAACCGGGTTGGTGGATGTGGAGTGTCCACCTAGGGGAGTTGGAAAACCCAGATTCCAAACCAATAATGCACATGAGCTCCAGTATCTTGAGGGAACAAATGACTTATGAACCTATAGTTGATCGCCGGCTACCATTGAACTGCATCTCCTTACTATGCTCCACTGCCTTATGGATCAGATCTTTAGGTCAAAGGCTCCTAATGTGGCCCCCTAATAAGACCACCTACTTCAGTTTGGGGACCAAGGTCAGTATCACAGCCCTCACACAAATCGGATGAGATTTGTGTGGCGCATATATATCTGGTGCTTCCTTGTCCCAATATTCATGTGTTTAAATAAATAAATAAAATAAATTATATACCCTCTCTGATATTGGAATAAACATAAGTTTAAATGAAAAAGAAAAAAACAGAACAAGATTCATTGGAGATTATAATGAATTCATTATACCATTTTGTTGTTTTTCTCTTCAGCTACATACATGCTTATTTTGATTAGTAAACATAATTTGCAATTTGCACTAATTGGATAGGTGTCTATAGAGAGTGAATGTAGTAGTTAGGAAATGAATGCTTTACCAAATTTTCTTAAAATCTATAAATACTTGAAACAACTGTATAGAAATGTATAAACAAGTCAAAATTTGTAAATCTGGTTTACCAATAAGATCGATTATCTCCATGATACATTTTACCTATTATAAATTATTGATGTTGATGGTTAGCTAACAAAAAGACAAAGAATTTATAAAGAACTGGTCATATATAATGTAAAGGATACTAAAGAGAAAGCAATGTGATACAATGAGTGTATTATATTCTGTCCTGATCGCTGCTGCTACTTTGACGTGGTGGTCGGGCTTGCCTATTGTAATGAACCAATCGAGCTATACTGGCTGGAATAATCGTTCCTCAATGTCCTACCATACCAGACAGGTTGTTTGAAGAGAGGTAAAACTAAAAGCAGCAAATCCAAGGTCCGAGGGCAAAGTCGTACTGCTGACTGTACAGAGGTGTGACGGCAGTAAGGTGTTTCCCTCAGACAACCAGCACAACAGCGATGCTGCCTTCCCAAAAGGGAGGGGTAGGGTTTGAAAAGGTTGGCCTTAAAAATGCACACCTTGCCTTATCCCATAAATTTCCGTCTCTGGCGGTAAGGTCCCAACTAGTACGGAACTAACACAAAAATTACTCACATAAAGGTCGTGTGTGACCGGCTTGAAGTAGTTGTTTCTTGGGCACTGAATTCACGCTTTCAGGTCACTAAGATCAACTCTAACCCAATATCCTTTTCAGATACCTCTAGAAGAACCCTTCCACGGTGTGGGAAACCAGGAAGCGATAACTGCCCTCATACCTCTAACAACACTCAAGACTGCTGTATTAATCATATTCTGTAATTAATGTCATTCTTGCTTTTGATTTAAATTTGTGTAAGAAACTAATCGTATGAAATTCCAGTTTGATTATGTATAATAATTGAACGATCAAGCGAAATAGGTGAAAGTAATCCTCTATTATTATTGTATCTTTGAAAATGAGGTCATCAGAAAGGTTTACTTCACTGAATAAGTTGTAAAACAAAGATTGGTTTTGTTATGTGCTTACACCATTGGGAATCAAAATAAGTGAATAAGTATATATATAGTTACTTACTTGGTTACCTACTCATACTTATCAAAACGTGACAATAATCCATAAAGTTACTGAAAGTGTCTGAGTTGTATTGGGAAAACTGACCGTAATTAGTTAATAATAAGTTGATAAAACTCACTGTTTACGTATATCAGGTATTGTGAATAAACTTTAATCATAATTAAAGGGATGCTTCTTATCAAACTGAAGTGTTATATGTCTTTTCATTCCTTTATTTTCCTTTGTTGTCATTTTTACGGTTTTCTATATTTTGTGGATTTCATATGCCCATATTTTAAGGGAAAACGTCTCACTGAATGTACACACTTTTACGTTTGTGGTTCTGCCTAATTTTCTCACATGAGCAACTATCTGTTTGTCCATTCATCTGTTTCTGTGTCTTTAGCCGTACGTATGCGCTGCTGGCAACAAGGTAAATTTCATGCAATTAGTTTTCTTTGTGAATTTAAATAAAGCCAGAACAAATACTGATGCAGAATAATATGAATTCATTATATTTCGTGGTTTCTCGTTAGCTGTTTACAACCGAATATGTATTAGAATTTTAACATTGAGATAAATAGTATGGAACAACTGACATAAGTGAATGTAAAGGATTGGAATGGCAAAAGGTTATCAATGATATATATGCAAGAACAGATTAGAGGTTATTAGGTGTTAAAATCAAAGAAACATAAAGGATGGGTGGTGTAATAGTTGGACGGAGTTCAGAGAGACAGATACCATAAATTGTGCGATAATTTTAGAGGTAATAAAGGATTCATGGAATTAAAAATAGATAAATATCAGAAGGGTTGAAGTTAGACAATAACACCGTTGGATGCCGGCCGCCTCAGTGGTCTAGAGGTTAAACGCTCGCGCGCGAGACTGATAGGTCCTGAGTTCGAATCTCGCGAAGTGGGATCGTGGATGAGCATTGCTGAGGAGTCCCACAATAGGACGAAACGGTCATTCAGTGTTTCCAGGTTTTCCATGGTGGTCTAACTTCAATTAACTCATGATCTCAACTATTGAAAAACAGATAAGATGGGTTATGTAATAATTGAATAGAATTTGAAAAGTTCACATAATTTAAGAAAATCAAGTTAGCGGATATGTGTCAGTGAAAGGGTGGTTTAAGAATTCGTTAATGGGAGAGGAATATAATGCAAGATAAACGTTAACCAAAATAAAACTAATAAGGAAAAAACAAAAAATTGGATTGCCAGGGTAGTAATAAGTTTATTACTGTCTCTTTTTGAATACATACAATATAAGTAATTATACTTGAGTGATACGATATTTTGAGTTAAACCCATACTCAAGTAAACTTAAGCGAAATGACATCTAGCAAAAATATGTTTTAACCTAAAGTTTCCACGTCATATTAACACAGTAGGATAAGATATTAACAGGATACATAGAAAGAGGTGAAGTAATAGTAATGTCTACAATAGTAAGAAGAATAACTTCATATAGGAGATTTCTTTCTATGGTTGTTATTATTGGTACGATTGGATAATCTTTTGTAATTTCTTGAATGTTAAGTTAAAGGTAGAATTTTTAGCAATACATATAGAAGGTTTTCAACCATTAAAATACCAAGATTTGTTATTAATCGTATAGATAGAGATGGATCGAAAAGAAACATACATACTAGTGGTGAGTGGGTTTCGAATCACAATGCTTAAATTTCTAGTGGTTTTATAAATAAACACAGCTTAAGAATTATCTAATGTTAAAGT